GCAGCTTGTGGAACTGCAGGGCACTCCTTGATGGCATCTGTGCTAACTGAAGTGACTGGTGAATGGAAGGGGGCGGGCAGGGAGTCGCCCTGAGAGAAGGATAGGCAGCTCTCTGCCAACCATCGGCACTTCTGTCTGTGAGGCTCCATGTAAACAGAAGGCACTCGCCGTCTAAAAGCCTGCAGACTTTCGCACTCGAAATAAGCCCGAACTGCAGTGTATATATACATATACTTGGATATTGCGCCTCTATAGTTAGCCTTGGGGTGTAAAAAACATGCAGTTGAATGAATATTTAAAGCATCAGCTGGCATATACTTTAGTATTGTTTGACATGTGAGGTAAAAGAAACCCTGATTTCTCAAAGCATAATCTAACAAAGGCTCAACAATACAGATTTTTTTTTCTTTACTAGATCAGATTTGCCTTGCCACTTTTTACATTTTTCACTGGCCCTGTTACATCACATATAATATATACATACAATGTACAAACACACACTTTCTATTCAACAAATAATCCTGAAAAAAAAAAATCTGCACCAAATCAGCATATTATTTCTGAAGGATCATGTGACACTGAAGACTGGAGTAATGATGCTGAAAATACAGCTTTGGCATCACAGGAAAAAAATAACATTTTAAAATGTATTATTAATTTAAAAAAAAAAATCTATAAAATATTTCAAAATATTACTGTTTTACTGCATTTTTTATCAAACGAGCATAAGAGACTTCTTTTAAAAAAGTATACTTGTAATAATAATATAAAAGTAGCAAATACTAAATTTTTTAGAGACAAAAAGGTAAAACAAACAAAAAACTTTAACTTTACCAGGCTGAACCTTATATTAAAAAAAACAACAACTGTGAAAGGTTTTTATTGACAGCTATAATGTAACTAAATATAAAATCATAAATATATTTGGAAGACAATTGTGGCTTCCTTATTCTCAAAATTTCAACAACAAAAAAAAATACATAAGTTTGCAATGGACACAATTTATTTATTCTTTTGCATAATTGATAAGTGTAAGAAGTACAGAAAATGCAACACTGGCCTGGATAGAGCAAGTCACAATGATGTCAACTAAACTAAACTCTCACACTGGCCATCCTTACAGTTGAACCCTGAGTTATGATAATATTTCCCTTTCTTGCCAGTATAATAACTGATAACTGGTAAATGTATAATAACTGATCATTGAAACCCCCATATTGATCAAGCAATATTCTGAATATGGGCACTGAACATGAACTCAATGTCAATGGTGGTATGATTTTCTCTTTTCTCTCTTAGACTGACCTCTGCTGGACATCAACCGATGGCAAGCAAAACAAATGCAATCGTGCACCAAATCAGGTTCCTTGACAGTTCGCATTACGCTTAAACAGCAAGATCGCATCATCGCTCCCATTTAGTTTCAAAACAGACAAATCCGCTTATGACAGTACGACCTTTCTCGTGCTCTTAAAATCTGCCCACCTCACACATTCACTTCAACTAAAGCTGCAGGATGAGGTTTTCTGCGGAAAGTGCAAAGCGAGCTCATGTTGCCTTCATGTTTTGTGGCAGCATGATGGGAGCGACTTACTTCTGCATGACGTTCTGCAGGCTCAGCATCATTCCCAGCTCGCCCTTCATCTTCTCCCTGTTGGCGTGGCATTCTGCCAGGTAGCGCACCGCCTGGAAGGACACAGAGCCATTAAGGGTCACGCAGGGCCATTACAGAGGCATACCGCCAGGCACCGCTGTGAGAACAAATCCATTAACACAACACCAGGACTACTCGGGTCAGATTTACTGTGTGCGAGTGTGTGGGGTACAAAATTCTGAGGGCACATGGAAAATCTGGGGTTCAAACCTGGAAATAAAGTTTTATGATTTAAAAAAAAACGCAATGACGACAATATTTCTAGTTCAGCACTATTTTTAGGTCACTAATCAAATAACTAAATTTGTTTGACCAAATTGACCATGTCAACTTGTCAACAAAGGTTTTTTCTTGCTTCCACTGATGCTCTGTAACATTCTCAAAACATGCTGGAGAACATGGATCATCCAGATGTCTCTGTCTGTCTTACAGAAGAAGGGAGGAAACACTTCCTGTAGAAGTTAGGCTAAGCTTTGTGACAATATTGGACAGCAGGTGGCAGTCTTGTGAAGTGTCTTTGGACAGCTGGGAGGGCATGGAGTGATCTGATTGGTTGATATGAATGCCTTTATCAAACAACTGATGTCAGACTATTTGAGTTTAATAATAATTACGTTCTTATATTTTTTCATAATTATAATAATAGTAGTGTTATAATATCTAATAATAAAAGCAACCGCTATATTAGGTACAAATTATTATTATTATTTGTACAAGTTTATTTGAGTTTAATAATAAATTATTATTATATACATAACAATAATACTATTATTATTATAAATAATAATAAGCCACAATATTAGTTACAGATTGTTATTATTGATATAAATATTATTATTATTAACTCAAATAACATTGTTATTATGTATTATTATTATTAACAATAAGCCATTATATCAGTATGATATCATTATTGTTGTTATTATTGTGTATACAATCATATCCTTTTTATTATTATTATCATTGGTTACAAATAGGTGGCAGTCATGTGTCATGCATCAGGGCCAGCTGGGTGTGCTTTGAGTGATCTCATTGGCTGATATGAATACCTTGATATCAACAACTGGGACATTTAAAAATGACTGGAGGTAAAAGAGAGTTCTAAAATCATAATTGCAACCCATTATGCTTTATATTGGGATGTCTGAATCTGAAACTGAGACTGCTTACTGCACACTATAATAAACTATTCATTAGATTTCCAAGAAATGTGGAAACATTGCTATGAAAACATTGCTGTTTATTAGAGAATATCGACATCTACCAAAATTATTCAAAATATTCATGATTATTATAGCATAACGTTGGAATTACATTAGAGTTCCTTACCCACTATACTAACATGGCAGAAAGCATCTTACAGGTTGCTATGGCAAGAATGTCTGCACAATTCTTGACTGCAAACTGGATCTTACCAAGAGCGCAGAGTAGACGACTTGTGGGTTGGGGTGGTCGAGGAAGAGAATGAGGCCTGGCAAACAGCCTTGATCTTCAACAATAACTCGCCTGTTGAGGGGGTCAGCAGCTAAGTCCCTCAGCTGATTCACCACAGCCAAGGCATCCGGCTCCCCACTCATGGTGCTCCCACACCAAGGGCCATGCACAGAAAATACACTGATCTTAGCTGAGGGGGGATCAAAAACACAATTAGATCATTTCTGATACCATGGAACTCTTTGTTAATGACAGAAAGCACACTAAGATGTATGATAATAACATAACAAAAGCTGGTTTAAATTGAATGACATAATTTTCAGTCTGCTTAATGTTTAAAATACAATCTTTGTTATATTTTAAATATATTCTTTAAACAAAAAAATAAATAAAAATAGGTATACTGCCTGACGTCAATCAGTCAACAGGCATTTTTGCCTCGCGACACCGTAGCATTGATTTGCTGATTATCTTTATACACGTGGCTTATTTATGGCTTTCATAGTGCACTAAATGGCCCATGATATTAATATAGCATAACGAGGCCTTTAACGGGGCCTGTGCTAACCGGCTAACATTGACACGGCATCACAAGACAATGACACTCTCGAATTCTCACATGGGGCATAAAACGGCATGTAAAAGCAAACATTTGGCGCTGAATGCTCATTCATATTTACTCTACAGACATCAATACAGGTGGATCTGAATGTCTTTCTATGAACAAAAACAATGACAGCACGCAAGACAGAGAAAGGCAGAATCTACTTCTATCGGGTCATATATAAATATTCACAGATATGTAGCCAAAAAATATTGATAAATGTACAATCAGTGTATTAGTTTATGATGTTCGTGGTCTCTATCTTGTTAACCTTGTGTGTGTGTGTTGTGGCACTGTTGTCCACGCATAACCTTACAGCAAACCCGCCCAGGACGGCTCCTCGCTTCAGATGATCCTGTCCAGTCAAAGGATCCCAACAAATGAACTGCTGATGGACACGAAACTGGATGTAGCTCGTGTAATAACGAAGAGAGTGAATATAGTTAAAAGTCTTTATGACAGCTGTTCTGGTCAGGTATATTTGGCCATTATCTGCGGAGCTTTAACACCCTGTACAACACTTCCTGGAATTAGACAGACCGATTGGAGGGTATGGACTATGACATCATGCGTTCTTGACCAATTAGAGAGGGTTTTACTAAGATACATATGAATATTTCATAATAACTGTGCTTCACATACAATACTTGTGAGCATTACAGATCAACAAATCAGAACTAAAACTTACTAAAATATTTGTTTGTTTGGCTGCTGTTATTTTTTGTATTGTAGGAATAAAATGAATAAGAAGCAAGTGAAATTTATATTGGGCCTTACTAAAATGCATAATCGCTTCACAGTACATGACATCATTTGGTTCTGCAGTGAGCACCACTTGGAAGCCGGTAGAAAATGTCCAGTTCTTACATTAAATGACGCTGACATCTGGACAAACAGGGCAAACGTGTAAAAACATTCTTCCAAGTACACGCATTTTATATTCAGTCATAGAACAACGGACTAGGGTAGCAACAAATACATAAAATACATTTTTGATGCTATTTTATACAACTAAAGGTTTGACTTGGTTGCCATAGTCAACCAAACTCGAAATAAAGTCAAACTCCGTTACACACCTATGCATACCTCGTGTATGCGAGTCATCACTATGTCATGATTGGTTAGTTTAATTGCCTATCCACCATTCTAAACCAGTGGTTGCCTCAATACTTCTAGGACCCACCCATTGTTGGAATATTCTCAATGCCTATTGGCCAATACTGTAAAGACCCGCCCCTCTAACCAAGCGAGTGCTCCCACAATGTGGAAAAACATGGGAAAAACCATGGGAAAAACATAGGTCACCGGTAACCGCTGGATTCGGTCTGGACAGCATTAGCATAGCACAGCCAGAAAGGTCCACTAGAAAGGTCTGTTACACTACGGTTTGGATGGTAAGACATCGATATTTCCCTGTAATGTCCTATTAGGAATCCGGACATTTTTTTTGTAAACAACTAAGAGCGGGTTTAATACAACACTGAAACAATAAGGCGTGGGTTTTAGCGCATTTAATTAACTGTAATAAAGTTTTGTAGACAGTTCAATTGCCCTCTGTTTGTGCTGTCTGTTAGTGACAAATACTCTCGTGCAGGAAATAACAACTAGAAAATTTTGTAATTCAGTTTTTTCCTGGCAAATATCAAGGTGAACAATGGCTGTTTGCCACATAGTAACTGTTTAGGAAAGTAGGAGTGGAGACTCGTTTGTACATGATGCTCCTGAAGATCTTAATTAGCTGTTGTGTTTGAGAACTCAGAGCTAAACTTCTTTGCAGTAAGGTAAGTTAAAACTCCAGGAACAGGATTGGGCAACCCTGGCTTACAAGGATCATGATGTTTTTATGAGTGGAAACCACTGTACTACTGTATTAAATAACAGTATCAGTAACAGTAAATAATGATCATTTAAAATAAAAATGTATGAGCGTAAACCATTGTTTTTGTTTAGGTTTTGATCTGAAGATGACCTAGCACAGATCCTTGATGATGAGATAGATCTATGACTAAATCACAAGATGAGCGGAAATCCTAGACTGAAAGAAATGGATCTGGTAAGTGCATGGAATCATATGTACAGTTTTGGCTAATCTCTCATCCTTATAGATTAATGATTTTCTTTATGTCTCTCTTAGGCTTTATCATCATCATCAAAGCCTTATGGGTCATCCCGAAGTATTGTCAGGAGAATTGCCACAAATCTTCCTTTGGCGCCTTGTGCTCGTGTCCATTTTCAGGTAAAGCGTCAGTTTTTGTTAATTCAAATGTCAATCATAAGTAAAAGAATATCTCAAATGTTTTGTAATGATTTCAACAGGTGATTGAAATGATGTCTACAGGCTTTTAGTGTATTTTGTGCACACATTGTTTTTGGGATCCCTGTTATCTTATTTTTCAAATATTTACAGTTTCTATTTTATTTTAGTCCATTATTTTCTTTGTGATTTCCATCTTTATTGTAGTTTTGCATCTCAAAATCTTTAACACCCTCCATTTTTGGCCTTCTTAAAGTCTTCAGCTTCATTTTTCAGTTCTCCCGTACCATCAAATTTCTGGCCTCTTCTCTGCTTTGATTGCATTATTGTGCTGACAATAAACACTGAAGAATCACAGGCACTGGCAGCTCACAATATCTAATCTATCCTTTTCCCACTGCATAACCTTTAAAATTACAAGTATGATGACATTAAACCCACCTTGAAACTTGTATTACTGTCTCTGTTTCTCTCTTCTCTACCCTTCCTTCCAGCTGTCCTGTATGTCAGGAATGCAACATGTCTGCTTTAGGTCAGTTCTCAGGTTCATTCTTGAAAAATCTAGGCCAAGGGCTCTTTTAAAAAGCTTGAAGTGCTTATTTTTTAAATAAATTGCTTGGTACTAATAACATATAATACAGATTTCCTCTTCATAAAGAGTTGAATGACACTGTAATGTTTTAATTGCTCACACAGCACTTTGTTTATTGCTAGGTGATATTTAAACCGGTTTCCCTGGTGCTATTTACATTACCGTGCTGTAAAAACATTTGCCGCTTGCTCTGCTGTTGTGGTTCTGACATGGTTTGAGTGTCTGTGAGGGTTTGTTTGTCTTTGTTGTGAGACTTGAAGCAGGTGTTGTAATTATTAACTGTCCTTTAAACTGTCTTTGGGCCGCGTAGCTTCATCCGTTCACTTCAGGGGTGGGTTTCCTCAACCATTCAAATGGGCCAAATGGCCTTGTGGCCACACTCGCTGATGTGGGCTGGATCGAAAGAGAAGAGAGCGAAAGCCCTGGCAGAAATAGGTGAAAAGGATTTCTAATTGAATTAGGAAACATAAATGTTGATGTGAGGTGTTTATCATGTACGTATGTCCTGCAGGTTTGAGGCAGATTCTGGGGCAGATTCTGGGCTGTTTTTTCGCACCCAGCACCGCAGGCCCCTGAGACGCCAGCGGTCATTACCCAGCTTGCACCAGGCTGAACCTGCGCCACAGAGCCAGAGGGTCATCAATGATGAAGCCATTCAGAAGATCGGCGTTCTTGAGACTGAGCTGGCCAAACTCAGAGCGCAGATCGCACTGATAGTTCAGGCACAGGAGCAAAGCGCTCAGTCCACAGGTTAGATGGGCAGTTAATGGATGTGTGTGTCTATGGTTTGCAGTGCATGTGTGTTCACTATTGATAATGTGTGTACACTAACTTGGATGGGTTAAATGCAGAGGACAAATTCCGAGTATGGGTTACTCCATACTTGGCCTTCATGTCATGTCACTTTAAAAAAAAAAGAAGAAAAAAAAGCTGCAGTGTTACTCTAGCATACTTTATATAGTATTATAGTATTTATTAATCTATTGTAAAATCTTTTTATTTTTATAGTTAAAGTTTACGATCCTAATTTTTTATTTTATATTTTGTCTTTTTTTATATGTCTGTTTAGCTTTACTATCATTTCAGTTGTAATCATTTTAGAGTTAGTTGCCATATGTAGTTTGTGTGAAAATTATTTTAATAGTTTTAGTTAATAATTGAGTAATACATGACTTGTCAACACAAACGCAACACAAGCTTTTGAAATATTTCGAGACAACAATTCATAACTCCACGCGAGTACACAAATATTGCAGAGCAAGTTAAAGTTAGTTAAGTGGTCAACATATTTATATTTGCCGCCCCCTTGAGTATTGCCACAATAATGCCTGTGCATGTGCAGCCGTTCCAATCGGAATGAGTGATTTTACCTGACTAGTACTACTTGTTCACACTTTTCATGTGCTGATATTACTAGTGACATGATGTTAGTTACTAATTTTGTTCCAGGGCCAAAAAACTAAAATTTGGAGTTTTTTGGGCCACTAAAGCCTTTTGCAATTATTTAAAATAAATCTGGTCACTCTGCACAATAATCTAGAAACAATGTGAATCAACACCACTTAACTGAAATGGCAAACTTTGCTTAACACAAAATTTGTCAATGCCAATACTTATGGCCACATGCTTGCGTGCATTGCTGGTCTAGCATTTGCGTATTTGCTTGCTTAGTGTGTTTCTGACCTCAAATCTATTTTAAGTATATAGATGTGAAATTCTGCAAATTAAATACTTTGGTATTAATAGTTTTTACTCATTTAAAGTGGCAATTTTTGCATAATTTCAGCTCCAGCGCCAGGTGGTCCCCCAGTACCCCAAGCTCCACCAATGGCTCCCCCTCCTCCACCACCTCCTCCTCCGTGTCCTGCCCTTGGCATGCAGAGAAGCTATTCTGCCATTGACCTCATCCGAGAGCGCCGTGGGAAAAAAGCGGGGCAGAACCCTGTACTGGACTCAGAACCCAAAAAACCAGAGCTTCCCAGCATGCTAGATGTGCTGAAAGATATGGGGAAAGTGAAGCTGCGCTCAGTTAAGAGGTGAGTATTACTGTTTGTTTTGGACTGTGATCTCATATACAGCTTACCAATAGGGTTAATTTGTCCTTTCGTTCCCAGTCATCAAGAGGACGGCCACACGAAACCCAAACCTGTTGAGCCCACAGACGCTGCAGCGTTAATCGCAGAGGCCCTGAAACGCAAGTTCGCCCACCGCTATCGTAGCGACAGCGAATGTGACGGCAGCTTTAACTTGCCGGCCCCTGAGAATAAGACCCATGTAGAAACTCCGCTGGTTAGAGAAATCACTTGAAATCTTTCTGACGTACGCTGTCTTAATGCTGTAGTGATTTTGTGCCGTTTCTTTTGCAGTTTGGACAGCACATGTTGAAATCAACTGGAAAGAAGAAACTGTTCTAGGATGAAGCTGAGCCACGTTTCTTCGCTGTGGGTTAATGGAGTTAACCTGATGACTCTTAATTTAGCTAACTTTTCTAGCTGGCTCGTAAATTTTGTTCGTGTTCACTTTTAAGAGAGCATGCACATGCTAAAACACTAACGCAGTCAATCTGGTTTCCCTATTGATATTTCTGTAATTTTGCACTTTGAAAAGTTCATCTCTATCAGTACATGTTGTGCCAGTCAGTTACATCATTAATGCCAGTTACATTACATGTTTTTTTTCTTTGTTTTTATCTGTTTTTATTTGTGGGTTTAGTTGGATTTTAAGTTCAACAGTGCAAGTATTCGACCTTGTTGAATTCCTCTTGTTTGAAGGGATAATGTTAAACGAAAGCACCAAAGTGTATGGATGGATTGTTTTTTTAATAAGTAGTTTTTTATGTGTATTTTTAAAATCTGTTTGCACAGAAGTTCTTTCTACTTCAAAGGTACAATTCATAATTGCTGGAAAATCACTAATTTCTGACATCAGCTTTTTTCTGTCATGCTGCTACCACTAGCAATTATGAAGCACATTTTTGCTATCATAAATGAGGCTTAGATGGTGCCGTCAGTAGTATTTGCTCTCTAATGTTGAGAGCTAATTTAGAATGCATTTTTAGGTTGTAATTTATTATTTTTGGAACATTTAGTTATTTAACCAAATCACTTGAATAATGTAGTTTTGTTTCGTGTGAAACCAATGCAAAGGATAGTATGTATAACATAAGTCTATTGCCATTTAATCATAATTTAGTGTATTTTCAGAATTGTGACAGTGTTTGTACCTTTTAAAAGGTTTGTTCTTTTGCACGTTTGACTAAGTCTAGCTGATTTTTGCCACAAAAAAAACCCCAGTGAATTATATTGCAATAAAAGATTTCTCATTTCAAGGGTTTATACTGAATTTAAAGGGATAATTCACCCAAAAATGAAAATTCTGTAACCCTCAAGTTGTTCCAAACTTGTATGTTTTTCTTTCGTCTTTTAAACACAAAAGAAGATATTTTGAAGAATGTTTGAAACCAAACAGTTGATGGGCACCATTGACTTCCATAGATGGGAAAAAATACTATGGAAGTCAATGGGACCATCAACTGTTTGGTTACAAGCATTCTTAAAATATCTTTTGTGTTCAGCAAAAGAAACTCATACAGGTTTAGAACAACTTGAGGATGAGTAAATTACAGGATTTTCAATTTTGGGTGAATTATCCCTTTAATGGCCAGCACATAGGAGCAGTACCTCAGCGGAGATACATTTAGTTTCATTATAGATTGTGACAATCCAAATGGTTGGTTTTATTATTTCACACTACAGAACCATTATGAATGGGCTTTCAGTTCTTGAATAAACCTAAAACAATTGATGTCTTGTCATTTGTGTAATGGTGTTTCTGTTGGGCTAAATTTCAACCACAAGATATTCAACACATGATTGGGTCTGGTTTGTACAGAACAGCATGAGCTCATGCCATCCGGTAGAGAAACATTTTGTGAAGATTTATTCATCAAAAATGCAACTGCAACAAGTATGTATCAAAAGGTTATACGGCAAAGCCTTTACAAAATGGCTTGACACAGGTCGTCTCCCCAAAATGGCTGTTACAACAAACTGTAAACAGTTTTTTTCTTAAATCAACAGTCTTACAGCACTTACAACAAAAATACAAATCACCTAACATAAAGCACCTCTTCTCTTTCCGAATATAAAGAGAAGCACAAAACTGTCCATTCTGTACAGAATCCAAAACCATACACAAAAATGGAATGTTCAATGTTAAAAATCAAATTAAACCAACTCTCCTCCATACTGTATATTAAAAAAAAAAAAAAGTCCACGACAAAAGGCAAAGGGTCAGACAGTGCACTAAATGGACAATGTGATGGGGTTTAAAATGAAAATGACAGCTGGTTTGGTCACTTAGCTTTGTGCATAGTTTTAAGGCATTGTGTAAGCAGTCTTCCGAAGAGACGAGAGTGGCTTTGAGACATTCTGAGAAGGACTTCTTATCTTCCTTTACAAAATACAGAGGAGAAAGAGAGGGTGGTGGCTACCTACAAAAGGCACCTGTACTTCCTTGTTTCTCCCAATAAGCAGGTCAGTGAAACCCTGAGCGAAATCCATGGAGAGTCCGTTCAGCTACATGTCCTGTGACAAGATCCTTCTTCCATGGTCGAAAGGGTTCATCTCTGCCAGCTTTCACCGAGTGACGTTCCTTCAACACGGGGGCACTGTCTGAAATACAAGGGAGAGAGATGCAATGGCGCACAAATGGCATTCGTATGGCATCTGATGTGTCACACCGGCGGGGTTGCAGTCTGACAGATTTTGTTGATCATCAGCAGTAGGTTTCGAACAAAATGTACAAGTGGTTCTTCACATCTGTGCTTAAAAGGCAATAAATCACAGAACTAACATGATTCAGTTAAAAAACAACATGTGTAAACAGTCTTCAGAGGCAGCAAAAGGACTGGGCTCTTCACATTTGTATTTTTGTACACAAGGAGGAAGATTGATTTGCAGAAGCACTGGCACACGCTCACACACACGCTCGCACGCATTCAGTTTCACACACATTGTCTCTTGGTGCAGTTGTAAAAACCTCTCCTATAAATACTCAAGGTGTTTCAAATGACTTTCAGAGCAATTCATTGTTTCAAAATGGCACTTTAAAGCCATAGGAGGGGGTTCCTTCCTACCCCACATTCCCTTACAGTCTTTAATCAAAGCATTGGAGCTGAATTAGTAACACCCAAAAGAAAAGAAAAAAAAAAAAGGTTAAATAAATAAACCACAATAATTAAAAGGAAACAAAAAATGCAGCAGTAGCCAAATGAGGTATCTATGTATTGCTCTATGTCGAAAGGGTAAATTTAAAATTAAATAAATTAAATCCACAAACAAACGAAAAGAAGAAAACAAATCATCAGTGGTTGGTTGGAGATGGGTGGCGAGCAACTCAAATGTGACGCAAGATGTTTGGCTGAGGGCAGTAGAGGTGTTCTTCCTGTTGGGGTGTCATGACTCTTGGCTTCCCTGAGATAAGGCTCTGGAACTGGGCTCTTCGGTGGCTCGGGTCGGCTCGGACTCCCCCTCCTCGGAGCTCCCTGACGCCTCGGGCTCCATGGCACTCCAACTGGCCTTGTTCAGGCCCAAATGACCGAGCATGGTCTGAGAGAGCCGCGTGTCTGAAAAACGCGCCCACTCTGCAAACAGAGGCTCCACCACGTATGTCATGAAACCTGGTACCAGAAAAAGAGAATCAGAGGCAGAAATCCCTGGATCAGCCAGACCTTAGAAATAAATAAATATAGTATAATATAATTCATATCACATTCTCACAACCATGCATTGGCAAAAATTACTTTAAAAAAAAAAACAAAAAAAAACAGGCAACTGGAAAGTAACACGGTTTCAACACTGTTTGGGGCTTTTCTGTCCCGCAGATGTCCCACGAGCTCATGCAGTTTATTTAGTAGCGATTTCAATCATCATATAGTAAACACCTCCCACCTCAAACCATTTCTTTCTCAGATTTATGCAATTCACATGGGTCATACTTTTCAGGTCGGAAAAGTACGGAAAATAAAATCACATCGCTGAATATATTATATCATTTTAATTAGTATTCTCTTCCTCCCAAATTCAGGGTGAGCACAGAAATCACGTAAATGATTGTTCCGGTTCTTACCGATTTGAACACTGGCTATGGTGTTGGCTTCACTGTCACACAGTGGACTGATTTCAAGTTTATGCTTCTTTTCAATGTCACCTAAATGAGAAGACAATGCCAAAGCACAAAAATTACCTTTTGAACACGGTGAACTAGTAGCAAAAGCAAAGAGTTTGGTCATCGTGAGTACTGGGTACCTTGGTGGAAAAATTCCTCTGTGACCTTCTCACTCCACTGTTTGCTGAGCTCCCACGGTCTACATGGGTTACAGATATCTGCACACTTCAGGGCCATCTGGAACACATGAACACGTGGATTTGTTTTTAAGTGCATTGAAGTGTCTTTCTTTATTTAAAAATATGGTGCGCAGCCCCTTCTACTTAAACCGGGACTCACAGATTATATCACATCACAACTTCAAGTACATCAAAATAGCATTATAGTAACTCATAAAGTTTTCATAAAAAAATAATCATTTTCACAAACAATTTTAATAAAAATGATTGTCTTGGTTTTAAAATAACTAATATTTAAAAGATTATGGTCCTCAGTCAAATGAAAGATTTTGGTAACACTTTACAATAAGGTCCTACTAATAATGAATAAGTATTTATAAATTTTTGTTTACATAATTAAACAAAATACAGCTGTTCATTGCTAGTTCATCTCAGCTCAGGTTGATAATAAATGTTGAAATTAATATTAACTAAAATTAAGAAATATTTTAGAATAAATTGTCATTATTAGTTCATGTTAACTAATGGATTCAACTAATGTTAACAAACGCAACCTTAAGGTTCCATTAGTTAAGGATAGTTAATGCATTAACTAATATTACCTAACAATGAGCAATACATTAGTTACAATACTTATTAATCTTTGTTAACATTAGTGAATAAAAATACAACTGTTTTTGTTGCTTCATGTTAGTTCAGGTTCATTAACCAATGTGAACCGACAGAACATTTGATTTTAATCATGTATTAGTAAATGTTGAGATTAACATTAACTGATTAATAAATGCTTTAGAAATATTTTGCATGGTTAGTTCATGTTAACTAATGTAGTTAACTAATATTAACAAATTAAACCCTATTGTAGTTACCGTAAAGTGTAACCCAGGTATTATTTGCAATAATCAATTAAGATATTATGACTTGTTTTCGGAGAATGTATCTTGATTAGCAGTGCATTTAGTTCAATTCCTTCAAAGCAAACATCTCAAATGTATTCTAAAAGCCATTTTTGCATATCAATTGTATATAAACTATTTTATTGAAATGGATATTGAATACCAAATTCCCACCTGCAGAGAGAAATGCCGATGAGAAGAGTGTCCTAAACACAGGCTGTTCTCATCCAGATGTGTCCTGAACCGGGACAGGTACTCATTCTGTCGGCTGATATCTGTGGCCAGAATCAGTGATCCCAGCTGCCTCTCTATACCCAGACTGTAAGAGACCAATTAAAGTCAGTCAAATCATAAATAACCTTTTATACTCTAGGGGTCAAAAAGAGGAAGGAAATGGAACGTAAAAAAAAAAAATCACATGGCTTGTTTGTGGTGCAAGCTCTAGTCTAGGCCATAAAAAAAATGCTGAGACTGACCTGTCCTCAGCAGGAAGATGTGAAAAGAGATCGGTCTCTCTGAGCAGACCCACTGCAGACCTCCAGTGATGGTTCTCCAGAACTGAGGTATTCTATAGAGCGACACACACACA